AAAAATAATTAGAGGAAGCACAGGACGGTTTTGGGGGTGGGCAGGATAGTTTGGGGATGTGCAGGATGCTTTGGGGGTGGGCAGGACGATTTAGAGGTGGGGAGGATACTTTGGGGATGGGCAGGATGGCTTTGGGGGCCGGGAGGGTGGTTTAGAGGTGGGCGTGATGGTTTTGGGGATGGGCACGATGGTTTAGAGGTGGGCAGGATGCTCTGGATGGGCAGGGCGATTTAGAGGTGGGCAGGATGGTTTTGGGGGTGGGAGGATGGTTTAAAGGTGGGCAGGGTGGTTTGGGCACAGGCAGGGTGGTTTTGAGGGTGGGCAGGATGGTTTTGAGGATGGGCAGGACGGTTTTGGAGGTGTGCAGGATGGTTTGGGCTCAGCAGGACGGTTTAGGGGGTGAGTGGCCTTTCCCGAAGAAAGGGATAAGAGGAAGGTGAGGATGCTCTTAGGAACCACAGAATCATAGAATTGTCCAGGTTGGAAGGGACCTTGAAGATCATCTAGTCCAACCATCAACCCAACTCTGATAAAACCCCCTGCTTCTGGGCTTGGGAATTATCATCGTTCCTCCACGAGCTAATGTGCGTGCGTGATCTGAAGAGGAGGTGTTGGGGAGCTGGAGGAGAAGGGATGGCTCCATCCTTGGAGGCAGATGGCGGGTGGGAGCCATGTAACACCCCAGAGGACCCAAATCCTGCCTGCCCACCGGGTTACCTCTGCTCAGTGGCTGGCAATCCGAGGGCTCCATCCTCATTTGGGCTTCTTGCTTCTCCTGACACATACCTCAGCATCATGTTATTTTTTGGGTCTGCTCCATCTTTCATAACCACTGGTTTGTGTTAACATTTACTGTTTTCTGCTGGTAATTAAATGCTGTGTTTAGGGATCACAGAATGATATGGGGTTGGAAGGACCTCTGGAGATCATCTAGTCCAACCCCCTGCCAGAGCAGGTTGCACAGGAACGTGTCCAGGTGGGGTTTGAACGTCACAAGAGAAGGAGACTCCACTTCCTCTCTGGGCAGCCTCTTCCAGGGCTCTGCCACCCTCACAGGAAAGAAGTTTCTCCTCGTGTTTAGGTGGAACTTCCTCTCTTCACATTTGTGCTTGTTCCCTCTTGTCCTGTCCCTGGGCACCACTGAAAAAAGCCTGGCCCCATCCTCCTGACACCCACCCTTTCAGTATTGATAAGCACTGATGAGATCCCCCCTCAGTCTTCTCTTCTCCAGACTAAAAAGACCCAAGTCCCTCAGCCTTTCCTCATAAGAGAGATGTTCTAATCCCCTCATCATCCTCAGAGCCCTTGACGGAGAGAGGGATGGTCACTGAAGTACCTGACAAGGTGTTTACTTTTATAAAAGTAAGGCACATCACCCTTTTTCTCCCACCCCAGAGAAGTGAGTTCCTGCCTTCAGGAGGGGATCTTACAGAAATGTACTCAAAGGGGAGGAATTAGTGCTGCGACTTCTATTTTGCTGATGGTTTTTAGTATTGATCTGTTTGCAGACAGATACTGCTCCTACTGAGACCCATGTTTTTACAGAGAAGATGCATTTATCTTGCTGAAGGTTGCGTGAAAATGCATGGGGCTGTTCTTTACTCGTTGCTTTCTGGAAAGCAAAACGCACCTGAGAGGAGATGATGCTGTCGGTTGGTGCTGGAAAACTAAGCCCAGACTTGCCCCATGTAAGTGTAGATGCTGAGCCAAGGAATCAAAGCTAGAAACTTAGTTGTTGAAGAAGTTTGGTGGAGTCTCCATCTCTGAAGACATTCAAAACCCCGCCTGGACACGTTCCTGTGGGACCTGCTCTGGGTGGACCTGCTTTGGCAGGGAGTTGGACTAGATGATCTCCAGAGGTCCCTTCCAACCCTGTATCATTCTGTAATTCTGTCATTGATTCTGTGAAGTTCTGTTGACTTTTTGGAAAGATAGTTTTTAGGTGGGCTGAGTCGCTCTCTGGAGTTGTCCCATTTCCAGTGATTTTTAGATGGAGCCGGGAGGGACAGTGCTCCTGGCACCAAATGTTTAAGAGCTCGTTGGGATGAAGCTGGACCTAACGAATGCTGCTGGGGTTTGTACTTGGATAAATTTTTGAACAGCTACAGCAAGGTAGTCCAGAAACCATAAGTGAACGTTATGAACAGTCCCTGCGAGGGCAGCGGCCAATGGGGACCCCACAAACACAAAGCACCCACTTTAAAATCCCACACTGAGTGGGGGGCATGGTGAGGAATAAGCTTCTCATTCCCAGTTCCCTCTTCCAGCTGCCAGCCGGCGTTCCCCACCTGCTTTTCTCCAGCACAGACACTCATTTGCTCCCCACGCGTGATTGTCCCATGCTGGGACTGTTTAGTATGAGGAAGAGGAGGCTGAGGGGAGACCTCATCACTCTCTACAACTACTTGAAAGGACACTGTAGAGAGGTTGGTGCTGGTCTCTTCTCACAGGTAATTATCATAGAATCATAGAATCGCCCAGGCCAGAAGGGACCTCCAAAGGTCATCTAGTCCGACCTCCCCGCAGTCAGCAGGGACACCCCCAACTAGACCAGGTTGCCCAGGGCCTCATCGAGCCTCTCCTTGAATATCTCCAGGGATGGGGCCTCAACCACTTCCCTGGGCAACCTGTTCCAGTGCTCCACCACCCTCCCAGTGAAGAACCCTCTCCTAATCTCCAGTCTAAATCTGTTCCCCTCCAGCTTGAATTAACGACAGAACAAGAGGGAACGGCTTCAAGCTCCAACAGGGTAGGTTTAGACTGAACATTAGGAAGGAATTTTTCATGGAAAGAGTGGTCGGGCATTGGGAGGGAGGTGGTTGAGTCACCATCCCTGGATGTGTTTAAGGGACGTTTAGATGTGGTACTGAGGGATATGGTGTAGGGGAGAACTTTGTAGAGTAGGGTAGATGGTTGGACTCGATGATCCCAAGGGTCTCTTCCAACCTGAATGATTATTCTATGATGATTCTATGATTTTATTCATTTCCTTCTTTATTTATTCTTTCCTCTCTAGGCTTCTGGGCCGATCGAACCCCGGTTCACGAGGCAGCCAGGCGGGGGGAGATCCTGCAGCTGCAGCAGCTGATAGAGAGCGGAGCCTGCGTCAACGCCGTCACCTACGACTCCATCACCCCCTTGCACGAGGCCAGCCTGCGAGGACAAACGCAGTGTGTCAAGCTCCTGCTGGCTGCAGGAGCCCAGGTGTGTTTTTCGGGTCTGGTCCAGCTGGATGCATCATCTTGATGTCTGGAGTTATTTCTTGGGATCTGGATTCTCCCTACCTGGCTCTAGGCTCTTCTTCATCACCCTGGGCTTTCTCGACAGTCAGCAGAGGGTGACAGGCCTCTTCAGAGGGTGTTTGGGCTTGATGAGGACTTAAAAAACTGCCTGGGAGTATTTTTTTCTCTATCTCTCCCCCTCTCTCCTCACTGACTGTCAACAGAGCCCAGAGGGACTAGAAATCTAATTTAGATGACTCAAATATCTAAAATTGGCTGGGTTGAGTCAAAAGGTCAGAAGAGGAGCAGGGGACATGTAGCTGCCAGTAGGGATTTATTTGTTTGTTTCTTCTTCTATTTCATTAATTGTATTATGGAAACAAAAAGTCAGCTAAACAGAGGCTTTGGGTAGAGCTGGCGACGACTGTCTTCAAGGGCTTGTGACTTCTGGCAGCTGTTCTCAGAGCAAAGCCAGTGAAGGGCTTTGCCCAGGGAGGTGGTTGAGGCACCATCCCTGGATGTGTTCATCAGACGGGTTGATGTAGTGCTGGGAGATATGGTTTAGTGATGGTGTTGCTTTTTATTTGTTGTGTGGGTGTTTATTTTTGTCAAAATTAGGTTGACGGTTGGACAAGATGATCTTTAAGGTCCCTTCCAACCTAGAAGATTCTGTGATTCTGATTCTGTGGAGCACATGTGGGCTCCATGACCCTTCTCAGTGCCCAGTCAGCCAGATTGGCTGAGCGTTCTGGTGAAACTGGGCTTTGCAGTAAAGCAGAGAGGAGTTCTCAGCCGCCATGCTTGTAAACTCCACCAGGAAAGTGGTAGAAAAATATAACGATGGAAATAACAGCCTGAACTTATCATAGAGTCAGAGAATCGCAGAATGGTTTGGGTGGGAAGGGACCTTAAAGTTCATCTTGTTCCAGACCCTTGCCATGGGCAGGGACACCTCCCACCAGACCAGGTTGCTCCAAGCCCCCTCCAACCTGGCCTTGAACCCCTCCAGGGATGGGGCAGCCACAGCTTCTCTGGGCAACCTGGGCCAGGCTCTCACCACCCTCACAGCAAAGAAGTTCTTCCCCAGATCTCATCTCCATCTCCCCTCTTTCAGTTTAAAAAGTTCCCCCTGATCCTGTGGCTCTGCTCCCTGATCATTGATTCTGTGAAGTTCTGTTGACTTTTTGGAAAGATAGTTTTTAGGTGGGCTGAGTCGCTCTCTGGAGTTGTCCCATTTCCAGTGATTTTTAGATGGAGCCGGGAGGGACAGTGCTCCTGGCACCAAATGTTTAAGAGCTCGTTGGGATGAAGCTGGACCTAACGAATGCTGCTGGGGTTTGTACTTGGATAAATTTTTGAACAGCCACAGCAAGGTATTCCAGAAACCATAAGTGAACGTTATGAACAGTCCCTGCGAGGGCAGCGGCCAATGGGGACCCCACAAACACAAAGCACCCACTTTAAAATCCCACACTGAGTGGGGGGCATGGTGAGGAATAAGCTTCTCATTCCCAGTTCCCTCTTCCAGCTGCCAGCCAGCGTTCCCCACCTGCTTTTCTCCAGCACAGACACTCATTTGCTCCCCACGTGTGATTGTCCCATGCTGGGACTGTTTAGTATGAGGAAGAGGAGGCTGAGGGGAGACCTCATCACTCTCTACAACTACTTGAAAGGACACTGTAGAGAGGTTGGTGCTGGTCTCTTCTCACAGGTAATTATCATAGAATCATAGAATCGCCCAGGCCAGAAGGGACCTCCAAAGGTCATCTAGTCCGACCTCCCCGCAGTCAGCAGGGACACCCCCAACTAGACCAGGTTGCCCAGGATCACAGCTTGCAAACATTTCAGCCCTATGGGGACACATCTCCTGTTGAACACAGAATGCAAAGCCCTGTGTTTTCGGGTGAATAAAGCTGGTGTTGGGTGCTTTTATCCCGGGTGGCAGACATGGGACAAGATGTTTGGCAGGTAAAATGCCATCTTCTTGATGCTCTGTCAGAAAACCTTGAGCCAAACCAGTAGCTTTGCTCTCGTGAGCAGAGGAGTGTTTGTGTTTTTTCCCTCTGATCCAAGAGGATGGGATAAATTGAGATGAGATAAATTGAGATGGGATAAATTGAGATGAGATAAATTGTTCTGATTAAGACACAATACCATCTCAACCAGGAATTCCCATCCCACCCCTCTCCTGGTTGTTCAAAGCTGCTGGAGAAGGCTGTCAGGTAGGAAGAAAGTGCCAGGGACTGTTGGGCAACGTTGCTGCCAGCTCTGCTCCTTGTCCCTCTCACGGCCTTTTCCAGCTGGAGGGTCTGTCTAGGGCACAAGAGAAAACTGCAGGGGCTAAAATGATGTCCCAGGTGGTGCACAGCAGCCACTTATTGCTCCTTCTGTCCTCTCCTCGAGCATCTTCTGGACGTTATGGAGCAGGAGCAAGCATCAGGGGTGGCTGTGATGGCAGCAGAGACGTGGGGAGCAGCAGAGGGACATTTTAAGTGTAATTCTTCCCCTGAACTTCCACTTGAATGGGCCTAACGGTGGGAAAGCCTGAATATGAAAGCAGCAATGTCCCTCTTGGATGATTGTGACCACATCTCTTAATGGTTTTGTGCCTCAGTTTCCTCTCTGTAAGGTGTAATACCTCCTCTCTCCTCCCCTTCACTTGTTTTTGTTATATGCTGTCCTGGACAGAGTTTCCCTTCGACTACGAAGGCTGTGGGAGGCAGAGGCAGCGTTTTTGACAAACAGGTAGTTACTTAAATACGTAGCTGTGAGCTCTTGCTTAGCTTTCCCTCGTTAAGCCTTTTTCCTGAGGCTTGGTGATGACTGCCCGTTAAGTTGTATCGTTAGCGTTGGCAAAAGTCAAGGTGGAGTGGTCTTGAAGGTGACCTAATTAATCCGCCCCGGGGCAGGATCAGCGACGCAACCAGCTCCACCAACAGCAGGTGATTTAGTGCAAACCCTTGAATTCAGGTTTTTTGACCTGACTCTTCTGCCAGACCCGGCAGCTCTAGCTCGGTGCCGTGTCGGTGTGACTCGTACTTCTTGTGTCATCACAGAATCATAGAATGGTTTGGGTTGGAAGGGACCTCAAAGATCATCAAGTTCCAACCCCCCTGCCCTGGGCAGGGACACCTCCCACTAGAGCAGGTTGCTCAAGGCCCCATCCAGCTTGGCCTTGAACCCCTCCAGGGATGGGGCAGCCACAACTTCCCTGGGCAACCTGTTCCAGTGTCTCACCATCATGATTAACTGGCATTGCCACCCTTCCTGCAAAGCATGACGGGGCTGATGATTTTGGGGAAGCAGGTCAGAGCCGGAAAGCACGATAAACTGTGCAGTCCATCCTAGGCAGAC